GGCTGAGGCCACTGCGGGGAGGGCACCGCAGAGCTGGGGTCGGCCAGAAATCCAAGCACGCTGGGTTTTTCCTTCCCCGGCTTCTACCTCCTCCTACCTTGCCAATCCCAGGGCTTTCAAAGGCTCATAAGTGTTGTTGGGTGTCATTTAGTAAATAAGAAAATCCTCAAATTCTGAGTCACGCAGAGGACTCGTCTCCGTGCCCACGCCAGGCAGCCAGCCGCCCCACAGGGCACAGGCCACGACTTAGGCACAGGGCCTTCTTGGAGCTCGGCCTCCTCGACTTCAGCTCCCCGGGCGTAGCCTGGTCCAGCTGCCAGGCACCCCGGGCAAGTGGTCTGTGACCCTGAGCCTGGAGTCCCCTTGAGCTGCAGGAGGGTTTTTGACACCTTTTAATTATGGACAATCCCAAACCTGCACAAAAGAAGAGTCCTGTAACGCACCGCCTCGCCGCGGCCGCTCTGAGCCGTCCACGCCACACCAGTCCCCCCTCTGCTGGGCGGCTTTGCAGCCATTGCACCCACAGACACTTCAGGGTGCGATGGCACCATCGTCACAGTGTCACGTGAGTGACGCGCACACAGCTAACTGGGCTCTTCGCATGCTGCTCTGCTGAGTCTGTAACGCCACTTCCGTGTTTGTGACAAGTTCCTTGCATGGATCCAGACGCCCCGCACCTGCTGACCCATCAGCCAGGGGCTGCCACGTTTACCCCGGGGCTCCTGCTCCCATCCGAGCGCTCGAATCCTTCATAGATCGGGGGAGCCGTCACAGGACAGAGGTGCCCTTGGTGTGAAAGTGCAGTGAGGCTCCGGACGCCAGGGCAGACGCGTTCGACCCTTCAATGAGGCTGGAGTTGGGGATCTGTACCAAACTAGGGGGTGGGGCTGATGAGGGTACCACCCCCGGCCACCTTCCCTCCTCCCGTCACCCACCATGGTCCTGGGCAGGTGCCATGTGGCACTCCGCGCTAAACCTGAAGTCTGAGCAGAGACAGGGAGGCCTGGGGCCTCCCGGGCAGCACCAGCCTGGGCTGTAGGGAAGCTCGACAGCACAGGCAGGAGTGGCGGCCGGGCTGACAGCCTCCCACACTGGGCGGGTTTGGGCGGGTGCGACTTCATGGCCTTGCTCACCTTCGCGCACTCCAGTTCGCAGCTGCAGACCTGAGCGACTGCTGTGCCCGAATGCACTGGGCACAGTCAACGGGGAGGCATTGGTTTCCTCGTCCCCGAGTCGCTCGTCCTCCTGGGGGAGTGGTGCCGTGGGTGGGTCTGACAGTTCGGTGGAACTGGGTTGAGAAAGCCCCTGCCCCATCGCGGCACCGAGGGCTCGGTGCTGAGGCGCAGTAGGAAAGGGCCGGCCGTGTGGCCATGTGCTCCTCTCTGCACGCGGGCCGGCTGGGTCGGGGACCCGTTCTGCTGGAAGAGCTGCGGTAAATGAGTGTGAGCGGGTGTGGGGGGAGGGACACAGAACCTAGCCGGCAGAGCCAGCCTCGCTGTGACTGAGGGACCCCGTGTGGCAGGCGAGACGGCAGACACCCTCCTGGCACTCCGCTACTGTAAGGACCGTGGTGCCCTGACCGTGGGCGTCACCAACACCGTGGGCAGCTCCATCTCCCGGGAGACCGACTGTGGCGTCCACATCAACGCAGGGCCCGAGATCGGCGTGGCCAGCACCAAGGTAGGAACGGCACTGCCAGGAAAGCCTGGGCAGGCAGGAGCCACACGGCCACATGGGGCCTCGGCCGAGGCCGCCGCCCCTCCCTCAGCAGCCTGCTCTGTCCTCCGTGGCTTTCCTGTCTGTCCCTGCTGTGCTCTGGCTCTCCGTGCAGCCCTGGGTGCGGGCCTCATGGCTGCCATGCCCTGCCTGCAGGCCTACACCAGTCAGTTCGTCTCGCTGGTGCTGTTCGGCCTGATGATGTCCGAAGACCGGGTCTCCCTGCAGACCAGGAGGCAGGAGATCATCCGCGGCCTGAAAGAGCTCCCCGGTATGTACCAGAGCTTAGAACCCAGAACCCGGCACCCGACTGCCGTTCCCACAGCCAGCATCCCCGCCACCCACCCCGTGATCTGGAGGTGCTGTCAGCCACCCCCTCCTTTGACACAGCGATTCACGTGTGACTGAGTACATCTCAGGGACACAACACAGTGATTCGGTGTGTGTACAACGCGGGTTACTCACCTCCATCCTGTCCCTTCGTTGTCACGAGACCTTTGAAGTCTCTGTCGCTTGGGAACACATAGCACGTCGCGGCTGCAGTCCCCTCGCTGTGCCCGGGAGCTCCGAACTCACTGTGTTTGTGCGTGGCCTAGAGCTGATCAAGGAAGTGCTGTCCCTGGACACGAAGATCCACGGCCTGGCCCTGGAGCTGTACACACAGAGGTCGCTGCTGGTGATGGGGCGGGGCTACCACTACGCCCCCTGCCTGGAAGGAGCCCTGGTGAGCCCCCGCCCG